TTTGGCAATATTTGGTTTCATTGATTTTTCTTGCTTTATTTTGATTTCCTATTTTGTGTTTTTGTGAGGGTTTTGTGTGTTTCTTGACTGTGTATTTGTTTTACTTTTGTTTGTTTTTAGAAATGAGACATAACATAAAGTTGGATATGTAGGAAGGTTAGGAGAAACTAGAAGGAAATGGGGGAGGGTAAAGCATAATCAAAATATAGTTTAGGAAAACAATGTTCTACAAAAAAATGCTTAAAATAAAAATGACAGTGATCAGTGGAATAGAATTAAGGACACAGGTATAAGCTAACTCTCCCAAAGCCATTTGATTTTTTTGACAGGCATAAAATACACAGGGAAGAAAAGAAAATAATTCTGGTCAAACTGGATAGCTGCATATAGAAGAATGAATCTAGATCCATAGGTCTCACCCTGCATAAAACTCAACTCCAAATAGATCAAAGACCTCAGCATGATACCTGATACCTTAAATATGTAAAAGAAGAACATAGGGAGTAGTACACTTCAGCTCATAGACACAGAAGACTTTTTGAATAAAACTCCAAAATCACAGGATTAAGGTTGACACTCAACACCAAAGGACACCATCATTTGAGTGAAAGGAAGCCTAAAGAATAAGAAAAAAATTACCATCCATAGATCTGACAACAGGTTTACTTCTAGAATTTGCAACAACAACAACCACAAAACCCTAAACACCAAGAAAACAGTCAATCCAATTAAAAATGTGCCATGGAATAAACAGAATTTTCCAAAGAAGAAATACAAATGGCAGAGAATGTTCAATTGTCTTAGTTATTAAGAAACTATTTTGAGTTTTCATCCTACCTCAACTAAAATGGGTAAGAAAAAATTACGATAAATCCTGACATCAGTGAGGAGAATGTAGAACAGTTATTCACTGCTAATGGAAATGTAATTTGGTACTGCCACTGTGGAAATTAATATGAAGGTTATTCAGAAAGCTTGAAATAGATCTACTATTCGATCCAGCTGTACCACTCTTCCCTATATACGTAAAGGACTGTGTATCCTACTAGAGAGATTCCTGGTCACCTATACTTATTGTTGCTTTCTGACAATAACAAGAGAGTAGGAAAAGCCTACATATCTATCAAACAGTAAATGGATAATGAAAATATTGTACATATATAAAACAGAATATTACTCATAAAATGCAATCCTAAAATGTGAAGTTAATTAAGTAACACAGACCCCAAAAGACAAAGTACATAGATTCTTTCATATATAGATCCTAGCCCTGACTCTTTAGATGTATGTGCTTAAATTGGTGTGCCCATAAAAGCTAGGAAACTAGAAAGGGAGTTTCTGAAGGGGAGACCAGGAAAGGGGAAAATATTTGAAGTGTAAATTAAAAAATATCCAATAAAAAAAAGAAAATGGAAGGTGGAAGACTACCACTATAGAAGCTTCCTGAAATATAAAGATATATTTAAATTTTAAATGAATTTACCCTATAAAGTGAGGACAGTGCCTCCCTAGATATCATAGGCTATCAAATAAATGGTGCAGGGCAGGAATGGGTTACCTCTCTGAGTTCTTGTTCAGTGAGATCCAATACACCACTTAAATATTACGAGCTATTGTTTTGCACTTTGTTAACCTGTAAAACATGATGCAGCACCCATTTCTGAAGATGTCACATACTTGAATCATAGTTCATCAAAAAATCAAGCTGGTAAAGACTGGGGAGCTTCATCCCTCTGGCTATGTGTCACAGTGCTGGAAGGTGTTATACACATTCCTGTTGGAGAAAACTACTCAACTGTCTTACCCAGGTGTGAATTCCGCAAGCTACAGTAACTATTGACCTGACAAGATATGCCCATTGGTAAAATAGTGTCCACGGTAACCAGCTACATTTGTGATTAGATTTAAGGATTTGTTCCATAAGAATTTATGCCTGGAACTGCTAACTGGGCCAAGACTCCATGACCAGTTAGAATACTATTATTCTTCTAAATAGATATAGTAATGAACTGCCCCCTATATATTAATATTTATATCCTATTAGTGCATCTTTCAATCCTAGTCAAAGAAGCCTATTTTTGGAAAAGATAGCAGTTAATAAAGATACCTACAACTGGTCAATGTGAACAGGTTAAGAGACAGTGGAATATTTGGCTCTAATTGAGACATCTCTTTCACACGTCTTTCTCCCAAAATCATTCCGAAAAAAATAGAAAGGCTTAATTCTTTACTAAATCAGGGGTAGTGAGATGACTGCTGTGAAAGACGCCATGAAAGATGTGCCATTGTAAACGTGAACTCATGGGGACTGTGACTGCAAGCACATCTGCAAATCACAAAGCCAGCCAAAATCCCAAAATTGATGGAGATGGCCCACTGGCAATTGATGGTGTTGGGGGAGCAAGTCTCAAGTTTTCTTTAGGGATATGACATCTGAGAGGCAACCTATGTACCAGCGGATTGTCCCTTGCCCATGCACACATTAGCAAGACTAAGTGAACTAAGTTTAGGAGAGAGAGAGAGAGAGAGAGAGAGAGAGAGAGAGAGAGAGAGAGAGAGAGAGAGAGAGAGAATATTAACTGTAAGATTTACAATACTACTTTGGCAATTAGTAAAGGGACTCTATGAGTCACAGTACTGAGGCCCTTGTATTTGCTATGTATATATACTTTTTTTTCCTCACAATTGTTAATAATTGTTAGAAAAAAGATAAAGAGTCAAGGTTGCAATGTGGTTTTACAAAGATTCGGTATTTTTCAGTAAATCAGTCACCAGGTTGCTCTGGTTTATCCCTACTGAGTCTTGTTTATAAGCAAAGCAGGTAGCTTTGCTGGTGAGACTAGAGAATGGCTGATTGTAGATACTCTTGGAGGAGTAGGCAAGCCTGGGTGCTAGGAGGCTCTCCCTGTAGCCCATGCCTATAGCTCATCCCTAGCTCCTGCTGGCTTACCTCCTGCAATGGGACACTGCTTTCTTTAACCTGTAATTAGGAGTTGGGGCACAAAACCTTGCTCTGAAGGTATAGCAGCTCGCCTACCCACTTGGGACATCTGTGAAAGTTTTTGTGTTGGGCTCTTGGGCAGACATGCTGGTGTAACTGCAGGACTTACAGACAGCTCAGATACACAAACTCGAATGGAACTGCTCCTGAATTGCTGTGTCCCTGGGCACTTCTCAGCTACTATCAACCATTGTGCCCCTCCCAGTATGGTAGCTGCTTGCTGCTGTTGACTTCTCCTTTCAGATTCTAGACCCTACAGTTCCTGGGGATGACATGGGCAGTCTCATAGCTGGTGCCTTGGGCATACCATGACCATATCTGGGAACTATGGACTTGTGCACCCCTGTCTTCTCAGTACCCCAAGTAGATCTTCCCTTCACAATTTTCTTTGCTCCCAACCCAGAGACCTTGAACTAGTGTTCTTTCTCCTAAACCTCTATTTCCTGCTCAGTAGAAACAAGAAAATCTCTCTTCACATCACATTGATTCAGTCAGCCATTAAAAAAATGCATTCCTCATTTCCCTTCTTCCTTCCATTGCTGAACAAGATTACTTTAATGATGAATGTACTTCTTTGTCTCTTCCCTCCTATATTCTGTCTCACTTAGGCTGACAGATCTTGATATTGCCTACATTTGAGTAGGCCGAATACTTTCTTTAAACCCTTTTCTCTGGGGTTTACCTAGCTTAGTGCCTTAGAGTGACCCAAGGCCCTATTGTCATACCCTGCCCTCTTTGTTATATTCCTAGCTTATTTTAGGCATCTAGGGATTGCCCTGCTTAGACCTTGGGTCCTGCAACCTCCTTTATCCCAGACAGAGTCACTCCTGAACATCTCTTAGACGCCCTAAATAAAGCCTTGTTAAGTCTCACTTTCTAGCAAGCTTCTTATTTCCTCTCAGCTGGCGTGCCTTCACAGCACTTCCTGCCACTTCTCACACTGTATGCCTTCCCTGTGATAGTTCTTTCTCTCCTCAGAGCATGAATTTCTTGAGGAGAGGTACTTGAATTTACTTTACATCTATTCTTCCCTAATCTGCTTTTTCTGCTAGTGTGGCAAAATATCACCAACTCTGCAGATTAAAATAACACTTGTTTTGCCCCACAGTCCTGTAACCAGAAGTCTACAGTACCTGATAGATTTCTCGGTCTCACAAGACCAGAATCGTGGTGCTGGGAGGGCTGCATTTTTGTCTGGAGGTTCAGAGTAGGTCTGCAGGTTTTCAAGGTGGGGTGGAATTCAGTTAAATGTAGCTGTGGGTGGAGGTCCTTTTCTCCTTGTCAACTGTCACCTAGGACTCATTTCTTCCTTCTTGGTGTAGTCCCTTCCTCCAGTGTCAGAGCCAGTGACCAGCTGAGCCTTTTCTTCATTTGCAAATCTACTCCTGGCTCCTGGTCTAGAAAATGGTTTTGATTGGACTGACCCAAAATGATAATCTGAGATAATCTCTGGATTTCCATCCCATTGCTTTTATTTCATCTACACAGTTCCTTTTTCCATGTAAGTAACAAGTTGGCAGGCATAACCCTTGGACAGAGCTGCTGCCTGCCTTACCAGCCCTCTATCCTGGACAGCATGGTCAACACACAGGGAAGGTTCAGAATAGGAAGAAGATTTGTATACTGTGTAAGTCAGGCAGTCATCTCAGGTGTGGGTCCTGCCATCACCCCATCCCACAGATGATGGAATTTTGATACAGAATAGGTGACCTATTAAGGTCACAGATCTGCTGGGATGGCAGGCACTTGTCTCAGAGCTGACTCTAATTTTTTGATGTGTATAAAGAGGAAATGTATGAGAATTGGCTTAATTTGTGCCATATTTGGTACATCAGTTCTATTGAAGCAGGGTGGGTCTGACTCACAGGGTGGTGCCCTACATGTTTCTACACCCTGGAGATCGATTCTCAACATCATTCTTCTATCAATCAGCATCTTTGTGTTCTTCCCAGTGGAAACCACTCTGTACTTACCCCACTTTCTTTCCCTTTCCCTACAGATGCTTACCCTAATTCTGAAGTTGTCTATGTTTGGACCAATGGCTCCACCAAGTCTGTGGTGGTGGCAGAAGATGGCTCCAGACTCAACCAGTATCACCTTATGGGGCAGACAGTAGGCACTGAGAACATCAGCACCAGCACAGGTAAACATGCTTGACTTGTTCTCTAGAGCTAAGAAGCATCCCACTCTCTGTGGCTTCATGTTCCACTCTGCAGTACAGACCCTATACAACTACTCTGACTCTTATAGGCTCCCTTGCAGCTTGACAAAGGGGCACCAGCTGCAGTGACCTGAGAATTCAGGGAACCAAGGATCTGTAGTGTATGTGGCATCTACACTGTACATGTTGGTCTTATCTGGATTCCAAGTTATCAGCTTATATAATATCCTTCTCCAAACCTGAGAAACAAGACGATCTCTGCAAAGTGGGGGTATACATCATACTGACTGTCCTCTTATTTCCTTCCCAGTACATCTCAGAGATCCTCCTGAGGTTGAAACTGGGAAATCAAACTAGCAGTAGACAAAGTGGCTAAGGTGATACAAACAAGGAGGCAGATGCAGTCAGTCACACAATACTGTCTCTATAGGGCAGATCATATTGGCTTCAGCTGATAAAACATGAATAGTGAAGCCAAAGGAATGCTGTGTACTCTACCTTGAATTGGCTATGACTCTCCTAAGGGCCAGCATGGCTCAGGCTATCACCAAGTGACAGTATTGAATAACAGGGGATGTAGCTTGTTTCCTTACATAATGGGAGAGAAAAGTTTGAAAGGCTGGTCCAAGTCATGATTGCAATGTGGGCTGAACTTCAAAGAATCCTTTGCTTAGCTTACGGTTTGGCCACAGTCAAGCAGCTGGTGAGATACACACAAGCCGTCAAGGGCAAACCTTTCTTTATATCACATTTGCAGGCCAGGACAGGGTCCTACTTACCAATAGCACAGTGCATTCCCTGGGTATGCCTGAATGAGAAAGAGAGCCTGAGAGGGCAGTGTCCCTGTTTAGGTGTCAGGCCTTGGGTAAAGGAAGTTGAATTTCACATCTGGCTTTATCAAAATGAAATGAAAGTTATATGGCAGAAATTGGTGTGCTGACACAGGGTGCTGCCTTTGAGAATAGTTTTATAAAATCTCTTGAAATTTTGTAACAGAGGCTCTGTCCTAACCTTCAGTTTGAAAAGATATTATTTTAAAAAGTATTGTCCAGCTTTGTTACTAATAACTCAGGAGTAAACATTATACAAACAAGGACAGGAAGAATGCAAAAGATTGTAATTTCAGATCCTACTGTATCTTCAATGGCATTTCTTGCCTTCATGTGTTATGAAGAAACACAATTTCAAAAGAACAAGATCTTGCTACTAGACATATATCCATCTTTCCCTCTATCCCGGTTTCTCTCTTCCACATGAGAGCTTGCTCAGCCTCTCAGCTACTCTCAGCTGCATTGAGCTATTGAAAAACACACCCCACCTGACCCTGCAGCATATATGGGCACTACTTAGAACTTTGGCTCCTTTACTGTATGTAAGAAGGCATATTTTTACCTCCTGTTGTCTCTGTGATTCCTTTTTCTCTGACATAAGTAAATATCTTGGGGACATCTACAGCTACATTGCTAACCTATGGGTTTTGGTTTAAGCAGCCTCCAACATGCCAATGCCCCATCTATACAGCCAAATGATCACTATAACCTCATAGGCAAAACCACAAGTGGAGTTTGCATTGAGAATATTTCCAAGACTCTGCTTGTGATCATAGTAACACAGCAGCCTATCTCCCAAGCTCCAACACCTGCTTGATACTACTCACTGAAGAAGTCTCCAGACCATCCAATGTCCTGTGCTTCTCCAAGCATCCCTTCCATCTCTAGGGAGACACAAACTCATCCAGAAAGCCTCACTCCCATAGACCAATAGCCCACCCATTGTAGCTCCTTACCAGTTAACCATTAGGACGGCATCATTTTCAGCAAAAAATGGAAGATCTCCACGTGCCTCCCATACAGCCAGGCAAATCCAGAGAAGGCATTGGGGCATTGCCCAGGAAATCCAGTTTAGAGCAACAGAGGACACTAGTGTCTCTGCTGGGTGGCAGAGAGAATGAGCTTCCCAGATCTGTGTCCTGTGTGGCTTTTCCTTACTCTCTACCTGAGTTGGGAAAACACCAGGCCTTGGCAGACAGTAGCGGTCCTGTCTCCTTGGAACTCAACAGCTGGGAAATAGGGAGGATGTGTTCATCCACAGCAGAGCTCTGGATGCCTGATTTCTATCTGCAACGGCTAAATCCTCAGATCCTGATTGCTATAACCTGCAGAGTGGTGAGGGGGGTAGGGAGCATGACACAGATTGACTGGGGATTAACGAAACACATAAATCTGATTTTCTCCGAAAAAGCATGCACCAGCAAGGGCCCTTCAGAGGCTAGAGTTCATAAGATTTCCTTATGAAATGACCTTTAAGAAAGCAAGGCAGCAATTTCCACAAAAACCCCAAGCTAAACAACCACAGCATGTATGCAGAGGACCTAGTGCAGACCCATGCAGGCTCCATGATTACCACTCGGGATGCTGTAAGCCCCTATGAGCCCTTCTTAGTTGATCCATCCAGACTTGATATGGGGATTTGTGCTGCCATACCTTGTGCCTCGTATGTGCACAGTCTTTCTGCATCTTGCCAAGCTGTGTTTGGTTGATAACTCTGGGAGGCCTGCTATTTTTGAAGGGAAGGGGAGAAGCAGTGGATCTAAGGGAGAGGGGAGGTGGGACTGGGAAAGGGGAGATGGGACCTGGGAGGAGGGAAGGGAGAGGAGGGATGTATTGTATGAGAGAAAAATAAGAAAGAAAAAGAGAAAGGAAGGAAGGAAGAAAGAGAGAGAGAGAGAGAAAGAAAGAAAGAAAGAAAGAAAGAAAGAAAGAAAGAAAGAAAGAAAGAAAGAAAGAAAGAAAGAAGAGAGAGAAGAGAGAGGGGGCAGGAAAGGGAAGGTAAAGAAAAAAAAGAAAAAGGAAAGCAGCTTGCATGGTGCCCATCTCCAACCCAACTAACTCAGCTCCAAGGCAACCTTCACACCCAGGGAAAATCATGGAAGAGGAAGAAGATCCACAAGTCCAGGATACCTAATCTGCTGTGAGAAAATGTGTTCTGAATACAACAAGGAAGCTGCATGCATGAACAATCAACAGTATTGATTCTCTGAATAACATCAGGATATAATAACACCAGTTGATATAACAACATGGAACAGGAAATTCCAACTCCTAGATGAGCTGCAGGTGGTCAGTGGGAGCTGAGAGCAGGAGAATCACTTTCCTCCAGGGGCAAGTTTCTGTGTAGCTTGTCCAATCCCTGTGGTCATCTCTGACACATATATGCTCATACTGTAACAACAGTAATTAAAGAAGATGTCATGACTTTAGGATGAGGGCACGGGAAGAGAGTTTAGAAATAAGGCCATGCTCATATACGAAGTTCTCAAAAAAAAGCCATCATAAGCAAAATACAAAAAAGAAATTAAAAAATCAGACACCACCTACTACTAGCTATGTAAGCAAATAGAATAAGTAAGGAGATTGAAGATAGAAGAAGGGAAGCATTGTGAACTCCATTGGGGAGAACAGTAACCCTGGCCCTGGAGGGTAGAACTGATCTCGCTGATTTGTGCATTTACAGGTGAATATACAATCATGACTGCTCATTTCCACCTGAAGAGGAAGATCGGGTACTTTGTCATCCAGACCTACCTTCCTTGCATCATGACTGTCATCTTATCCCAGGTGTCCTTTTGGCTAAATCGAGAATCTGTCCCAGCTAGGACAGTTTTTGGTGAGTAACTCCAAGCCTGGCCTTGGCATAGGTATCAACAATGATCAGTGCCACAGATACACTTGAACTGTGTGTTAAAGGTATGGTCCTTATCAGGTAGCAGTATAGAAAAGAAGTTAAGGGGGCTGGAGAGATGGCTCAGTGGTTAAGAGCACTGACTGCTCTTCCAGAGGTCATGAGTTCAAATCCCAGCAACCACATGATGGCTCACAACCATTTGTAATGAGATTTGATGCCCTCTTCTGGTGTGTCTGAAGACAGCAGCTACAGTGTACTCATAAATAAAAATAAATAAATCTTTAAAAAAAAAAAAAAGAAAAGAAGTTAAAATGGGCTCACCAGAGCAGACAGGTTTATTCAGGACAACCTGAGAAAGGCTTACACCATCCAAGCAGTGAGAGAACCTCTTACAGACTAAGGGTTCTTTATTGATTTAGCAGGAGGAGGGGGAAAGAGAGGCTATGTGGGTCAGCAGCTGGCTAAGCTCTTCTTTTGGTATGGGATTTTTTTCCAGTTAGGTTGTGTCTCAAGAGCTTAGGATGTGCTGTACAGCACCATGCTGTTTTCAACTCTTCCAAACATCTGTTTTGTAGAACACTCTGTGCTTATTTTGAGAGCCAGGTGTTTGGCTTTAAGACACTGGAACAGTTATTGTATCATCTCACCTCTTGGTAGTGTTTAGAGGCTAGAAGCTTTAGGTGAAGAAGGCTAATAATTCAGGCCATGTAGGGGTTTTGCTTTAAGAGAAAAGAACTCTAGTCTTTTTACTTCTTAGCCACCATCAAGTGAGAAACTTTGACCCTTTCCATGTTCCTGTCATGGCTACCTATTCTACCTTGGGCTCCAAATCAACAGAGCCAACTGACCATAAATTAAAATCCCCCAATTTTAAACCAAAGCAAATCTTTACTTTTTAAAGTTGTCTCTTGTATTTTGTGACAGTATCAGAAAGTTGATTAATATAGTTACTGTGCTTTTGTTATTGCCTATTCACTGTGACCTTGGAAACAAATGAAGCAATTGGCTAAACTTTTAAGATTAAGAAATAGGATTTCTCTTTGAGTTAGAGTTTAGGGAATATTTGTTTGCTTGATTATTATTTCCATTTTTGAAAACATTTTCTCACTAGAAGATCTTTTGAAGGTTTTAAGTATAAGCATCCCTCCATTCTTCCTTCCCCCTTTTGTTCCTCCTTCCTTTCCACTGGGGGTCAAATACAGATCCTTATGAATGACAGACAAGTAGTTTACCACCAAACTACACTCTTAGGCTGGGCACATTAGTATTTTTCCTAGAGTTTATCAGGTACTTGTTTTTGAGTTTTTATAGTTCCCATTGAAAATATTCTTACTACTTTAAGATCTTCATCAAAATACAGTCATTCCATTGTATGTACACTAGTACATTGTGTTTTACATGGTAGTAGCAAAACACTTTCAGCCCTCTGTGACTGTAGGCACTGCATTCTCAGATTCAGAGAACCATAGGTAAAAAATATTTGAAATATATACAAACTCTTTGTCTTGCTGTTATTTCCTGAAAATACAGTACAGTAACTCTTTACATGATGATCACATTACATAAGGTATTGTAAGGCATCTAAATATGGATCATTATATGTAAGAGACAGCCTGAAGACTCCATGCAGAGGCCATGATATTTTATATAAGAGACTCAAACGCTTATGGGCTTTGGAATCTGAGGTGGTCCCTGAACCTAACCTCAACAGAAGCTAAATAGTGACTAGTGGATGACATTTCCTGGGAGGCACGGGAAATGTCTGTTCACGCCAGTTGAGACACTAACGTCACACCAAAAAAATTATTCCATCTAAGCCTACTTCATTAAACCAATGAGTTTATCACGGTAACTTATAGGATCATAGGTTGGGGTTTACTTACAGGGGCAAGCTGATGGCACAGGAGAGCTGCATCCCTGGCAGCATGCAGGTAGTTCCATAATGAGCCTACCCTCCCCTGAAAATTGCTCCCTGCTTATATAACCTCAAGAAGAGGCCTTGGGACTCTGATAAGCTGTCTCTCTTTCCTCTTTTAAACTTCCTGAGACTTGCAAATTTCCAGGGCAACTTCCAGAGTTTTATGGGCTTTCCAGGAAAGAATGTTCCAATACAGAGGAAATAGCTATGTATCGATACTATTGAAGAACAATTTGAGAAATCATCATTGTGTGTCCCTAAGACATTAGACACAGCAGAATCTAGCTTAGGAGATTCTTTGCCATAGAGGATTTGACTGTTTCCCATCTTGAAGCTCACTGTACTCGTCAGCTTTTTCTTACTGTACCACATTGCCAGAGTTACCCAATCTTAAAAGAATGATCTAGTTTGGCTCAGCGTATTAGAGATATTTTACTCTATGGTCATTTGTCTATGTTTATTTTGAGCCTGTAGTAAGACAGCACATCGTGGCAAACATGTTTACCTCATGGCTAGTACATGTGTGCCTCTGTGTGTGTGTGTGTGTGTGTGTGTAAGTTAGAGTGAGAGGTAGACAGACAGACAGACGGATAGACAGACAGACAGACAGACAGACAGACAGACAGACAGAGACAGAGGCAGGGGGAGTGATAGAAAAAGGAATAGATACAGAGAGGCTAAAAGACAAAAAAAAAAGACAGAGACAAACAAATTAGGGCTGGACTCTAATACCTCTTTTAGAGCATGACCCTTCCTGTGACTGGAAAACTATATGCCACTGTCCACCACCCAGAGCTGCAGAACTAACCTTTAACACTAGGGGTGTTGGGCTGACACCTGCCTGAACCACAGTGCTCACTCTACTCCCAGTTAAGAAGGGATGTTAAAGGCAATTTTCAGATCTTTTGCGACAACAACAGAGGCTCATCTTTGTGTGTTGTGATATACAATTCACACAGTAGTTCCTACATCTAGTTTTTCTTCCACAATAGGAAAGCATTTGCATGCACCTTATCTTGATGATAGTATGTAAGAAGGCCAAGAGCCCTGTGCACCTCTGCTCATCACTCTACTCCCCAGTACTAAGTTTCTTACCCTGATTCAATGTAGAATATGTATCAAGGTGTGGAGATTGACTCATGGCCAGGAGGCACTCATTCACCAAGTTGATGAGCCTAATGAACTCCATAGTGGATATTTTTATTAGTTAGGTTAGTGAAAGAATGGGAACACACTGCCTGTGATAGTCTATTTCCTCTTGGAAGTTCTCTACACATGATCAAATGTTAAACGACCTGAGTAGAAGCCTACTTGAGTGTCTGTATTCAACTATGTACTCAGCATAAGTCACTGTATTGTATTGTTAAGAAAAATCAAAATATAAAATCAAAATGCTTCTGTAGGCATTCATTCCACATTGGTTCCATGTTTTATGAGTTGAAGGTCTCCCAGATGTTGGACCACCATTCGCTCCTAGCGCTCCATTGTGCTTCTGTATCAGAGTTCTACCAGCATCTGCTTAGAAACATACTGTAGCTGTCTCAGGAGGGTGGGATCTCAAGATTAAGAGGCTGGCAGGATTGGTTCATACCTGAGGCTTGTGAAGGAGACTCTGATCTAGGAATCTTCCCTTACCTTTGGCAGCCCTAGGGCTTATGGCTGCACATTCCCAGTGTTTCCTGTGTGTGCGTGCACGTTAACTCAGAATTTCCTCTTTTAAAGACTATCAGTCACAATGGATTAAGGAACACATTGTCTGCTGATGTCATTACTTCTTAAGAGCCTAGTTCCTTATAATGTCACAATCCCAAGTAATTGAGATTAGGACTTCAGTGTGCCAAGTTGAAGGGCAACACAGTTCATGCCATAAAAGGCACATTCCTGCCATATCCCAAACACAGATCTATGTTCACAGAAGTGTATAAAAAGAAAGACTGTCTAGACTGTAAGAGTCCCCAGTCCTGACCCCAGAGATGTGCTATTTCTACATATGATGAGAATTTAAGAACACTCCTAAGTACCTATAAATCTCTAGCTCTCTTGCATGATGGATATAGTACACTCTTCCAGAAAGTAGCTTAGATCAGAGGCTGACACTGGCTGATTATACACAAGTCTTCCAATTGAAAGTCATGTGCCCTTCCAGCCAAACAACTGCAGTGCTTCTCTAGAGCCACAACAGGCTCAAGGATATTGCCCCTCCTTTTAAGGAGAGAAGGTATCATCCTGCTACAGTGATACTCAGGCATCTCTTTATAGTCAATGCACAAGAAAGGAACACACTACATCATTCTGTCTCAGCCCATTGCTTCCGAGGTACACTGTAAATCTCCATGAAGCACACTGCTGAGTCCTGGGTGAAGGTCGCTGACACTTTTCATGTGTTCTTACCTTAGTCCCACAGAGACAAACCACTCATGAAAACATCTTTGCAAGTACCAACAATTTCCACAACCTGTCCAAAGAAAGAGGATATGGTTATATAGAAGTCAGACCACAGTCCATGCTCTACTCAATTTGTATCATAGAGGATGAAGACAGTGGGGATAATTAGATAAGAAATGTTTTCACTGCAGAAAATATGATAATCAAGGGGACGTCCTGGGGGAAAAGAAGTTAGCTAAGTCTAAAGAATCAGAGGCCTATGTTCTGTAATGTTTGGGGAGGGAGTTCTGGGAATTAGCACTGATCTCTCTTCCCATGCTGTAATCTCCTCTCTCCTTGTTGAGCAGGAGTGACGACAGTGTTGACCATGACAACACTCAGCATCAGTGCCCGGAATTCGCTGCCCAAAGTGGCTTATGCCACAGCTATGGACTGGTTCATTGCTGTCTGCTATGCATTTGTCTTCTCGGCTCTGATTGAATTTGCCACAGTCAACTACTTTACAAAGAGAGGATGGGCCTGGGATGGCAAGAAGGCCCTGGAAGCAGCTAAAATTAAGGTAAGGGATGGTTTATTATCCTCCTTCTTTTGGAATTCATTGGCAAGAAAATAGGCCTAATTTTGGGTCCAAATATTCAACAGGCAATTTCTCTTTCTGTCTCTCTCTCCAGAATGATCTTTCCTCTTGCCTCCAAGGCTCTTAACAGGTTCTTACAGATGATCTAATTTATTTTAAACAAATTTCTTTCAAGTGAAAGGTCTGGTGTACACTGAATGGCTTGGACTTACTTACACTCAAACTGGTCAGTTTGGTAAAAACAATCCTCTCTAGGGATGATGTGTCTGGGTTTTAACCTTAGTTCTAACCACAGCACATTCTTTTATCCCTAGGTCATATCTTCTTTGAGCTAACCAGCATTTCTCAGAGAGGGTAGATAGCATAATGGAAGTTACCCATCAGCAAAAATGACCCGGTACTTCAAGGGAATAATTTGGCCCATGCAGCTGTGAGCAAGCACAGTAGTGTGAAGTGTCACACAGTCATATGATCTTTTATTGTATGTTTCACTCACAATTTTACCCAAATCTGAGGAATAATTGAAGGAAAAGAGCAGCACAGGGTCCCAAGCTGAATAACTTCTGCAGGGATGAGAAAATATTCAGGCACAGAAAATAAAACCACAGATGATAACCCCCTAATTACATTATGCACAGAACAGGCATTTAAGCAAGTCCTTTGTACTGAGAGAAGGTGAGATCAGTGCTTTCAGGAGAAGATTGAAAGGAAATCATAATCTATCCTCTGTGAAATAAGCCCAAGGGGAGTCCAAACTGAGTCGGGCATGAATAGTTAGTTGTCCTGAACCACACCAGTTGGCAAACCTGTTCACTTCCATCCCATGGAGTTCATCTGGTTCTACCCCATGGAGCCTGATCCAGTTATGTCTGGGTCAGCCCTTACCTGTCATTCTGACCTTACCATGGACTGTCCTTTTTCCAAGGCTCATAGTCCATTCCCCATGCTACTCACAGAGTCCCACATCCACATCCAGTTGGCTATATGAGAGGCAGGGTGACAGTAACTGGGAGACAGAAAGGTGGCAATAGGACCCCTGCTTGGAGATGTAGCACAGCCTAAGTGCTAAGTTTTCTCCACTACTAAGTGGAAGCTTGTGAAAATAGGCTAACATTGAGCTTCTTCATTCAAGTTATCACCATGTGGTTCTTTAAAGTTCAGGCAGCCAGAAAGCATCTATCTTCCAGTAATATGAGGTGGGCTGGTTAACTTCATCTTTCCACACCATCTGTATTTCTTCCCAACAAACAACCTTCTTGGTTGCCTGGGCTTCCCCTTATAAATCTAAAAGTTCCATGACATCACCTAACATCTGACTGTCCCACATATTTCTCCTATACCTGTTGCTTCTTCACAGTGCTTATCTGAGTTTGTTTTCATGGTGTGGGGAGACATAAATGATTTGGCTTCTGTGGATGATCTGTGGGGTGCTGGAGAAACATTTTTTGAAACAGGATGTCCTGTTTCATAATATACATAATAAAATATTAGTTGAATTGTTACAGGGTCTGTGTAACTGTCCTTTTCTAGGTCTGTGGGGGAAAAATAGAGGACATAGCTTGGCTAATCACTCTCACAGTGTGCTCCACTGGTCAGCCATATGGGACACCAACGTGATGAGTTGTTTTCCCATGCTGTGCCCTACCCTAATGCTGGAAAGGCTCTTCGTGTGAAAGTAACATTCTATCAGGCAGGTTGGACAGACTCTCAGACTCACGGACTAAGTCAGAATAAACACGTTAGTGGGAATCTGTTGCTGTGAGGTGATCATCACTAGAAATGGAGAAAACTTTAAGAACTCAGAAAACAGGCTATACTTTCCATTGTTTCATGCCTATTCCCAACAAAGGAGGAAGAAGTGAGGTGAGACAGAAGACGATGACAGTGTGCTCAGCAGAGCCTCAGATAATCCATACTGAAACTCTGAAGCAAGTCACAGAACACGCTTTGGAAATGTTGCTTCTGCCTCACTGGCTAACATGTGGGTGGCGAGTGACATTCTTTCTGGGGAATCATGAACAAGCATCACTCATCCAAGACAGGGAACTGATCACAAATAGCTCTAAAACCCAACACAGTTTATACTGGGGGTACAGAAATATAAGTGAAGAGTTACTTACAGGAGCACGACTGACTCAAAGGCATCTGAATCACCAAAGCCAATGGATCACAAAGCTGAAGCACAAAGTCCAACCTGCAGACAGCTCAACAAACTGAGGAGTGTTCATTGCAGTTAGTTCACTTGGTTGGAGCTTTGTCTGAACAGCTTGGCTGTTCTACTAGGTGGTTCGTGTGACCGGATCCTTAACGAGGCAGCTCATTTTGTCTGAGAGTGACTCTTGGCAATATTTCTATCTTACATATGTTTGGGGGAGGGGAGGTCTAGTGAACCTGGTCATGTTCAGGAACTTCCTGGAGAGATTTTGAGTTGCTTGCCACCTAAGCTCCAGTAGCTTGTGTTTTGCCCTCCCTGTAAGCATGCTGCTATCTTAATGAGAAAACTCCAACATGGAAGGTTTAAATCTCTCTAAGAAACTGTTACACAGCCATGGTTCTGCCTTCTAGGCAAAATAGTGATGTACTGGCTGGTTTTGTGTCAACTTGACACCAACTGGAGTTATCACAGAGAAAGGAGCTTCAGTTGAGGAAATGTCCCCATGGCATCCAGCTGTAAGGCATTTTCTCAACTAGTGATCAAGTGGGGAAGGACCCTTGTGGGTAATGCCATCCCTGGGCTGGTAGTCTTGGGTTCTATATGAAAGCAAGCTGAGCAAGGCAGAGGAAGCAAGCCAGTAAGAAACATCCCTCTATGGCCTCTGCATCAGCTCCTGCTTTCAGATCTGTTTCAGTCCCAGTCCTGACTTTCTTTGGTGATGGTCAGCAATGTGGAAGTATAAGCTGAATAAACCCTTTCCTCCCCAACTTGCTTCTTTGTCCTGATGTTCTGTACAGGAATAGAAACCCTGACTAAGAAATGTGGCTAGAGAGGGCCAGGCAGCTTTCCGTGGCTGAGGCTGTTTTTGAAGTTGCTGACTGCTGACTTATATTGCTGATAGCTGGACAGCAAACACTTTCTCGAAGAGAGATCCATGTGGATCTCTGTGTGAGGCACACCTACTTGAACCTTCCTGTCTCTTGTGCTCTTTCTGCCCTCTCTTTATGTTTGTCTCTCTTAGTTCAAAGCACATGTTGCCATGAACGGCAATATGGTTGTCTTTCCATGTTTTCAGGTCCTATATCTTTGATACAAGTAACCACAGTTTATAATGTTTGAGAAAATAATGGGTATATACTGAACAAGCACAGAATTTGATTTTTGGTCATTTACTAAGCAATACAAAAAAGAACAAGTATTTACACAGTGTTAACTTTCATTGGGTATTAGAAGTCATTTAAAGAATTTAAAGCATATGGGCGAATGCCCTCAGGCAATGGGCAAACAAACATTAAGCTATTTTTTATATAATTCTTGGGTATCTTATTTTGATAAATGTGTGCCTATTGAAGGAATTTTTTCTCCTATTGTGTTCTTTCCTTGATTCTCAAAGATGAAAATCGTTTAGAGTAGTTAGTCACACTTACTAATATTCTGGAAGACTGGCAAGAAGCCTACATGATGGTTTTCTGCAGCATGGACTGCTTCTCACCCATCCGCCCTCCCATAGTTTCTACGGCTCCCATAGTTCTTGCATCTGGCTAAGCACTTGGTTTTCATTTATTTTCACCTGCTCCTCTTCCTTCTGCTCTCTTCTTCTTATCTTTCTACATCTTTAGCACTGACATGCTTTCCATAATTACAATACAGCTTTATTTAAATTATATTTAATGAGATTGCATTATATTGATAATGAAATTGAAATGAAAGTTAAACTAATATTTTATTATGTATATTTTAAACATATAGTAATGTCTAAAATGTTTCTGTTGGTAACATTTTACTATGTTTATGTTATACCAATCTATGTACCATATCTATCCATCATTCATTCTACCTAGCATCCATCCACTCATCCACCAATCTATTCATCTATCACCTGTCATCCATCCAACCATCTATTATCCATGGGTCCATTTATGATCTGTACACTATTATCTATTCACTGATCTATTTTCATCAATCACCCGTTTTATTTTTTTATACATATCAAAATAAATCCCATGCATACCATTAGCCAGAGTTTAGTGTGATTTACTATTTATTTAATTCCCTTGGAGGAAAATTTATCTAACATAAAGTACACACACATTAGGCATATCTTTGTTGCATTCCTGCAAGCACACAGTGCTATGTCCCCCAAATCTCTATCATATCATTAGCAGTTAAGAAATTCAAATATCTTTTTCTAAACAGCTCTTGCCCTCACCTCTGTAAATGTAATCATGGTTCTGATTTTTCCACATAAAGTTTATTCCCTGTCCTAGAACTCCATATATAATTAAAACAAACAACAGCAAACCCAAAACCAAGACAGTGTGCACAAGACATTTGCTGGATCCAGAATAGTCAGACCTGGACACAGCATATATGTCCATCAAAAGGATATAACTATACATTCTGAAAAGAAATGACACTCAACAATAAAAGACATTCTCATTGTGCTGTTGGAGGCAGCTGCATGGCTGATTCTCAGGAGCCCTTTTTGAGATACACCTTGCACCAAGGACTACTTACTGTATTCAGCCTTTTAAACACTCTCCCTTTAATTATTCTCTGAAGGTCATTCTCTAGAATGTTTCTTATAGCAAACTACATAGAGTCTTCACTCCCATGGACACACTTAAATAAATAAATGATTGTTAACAGTGATCTTAATTCAGTTTATGGTAGGTTCCTGAGAAATACCAAACATTCACATCAATAACCACATCTATCTGCTGTGGGATTCTAGGCTTGCAAGAGGTCTGTCCTCTCCTAGCGCTGAGTTCATCTTTATTGTCTCATCTAAAGACAGCCTGTGAGATATTATTCAAGAGCTGAAAGGTGACGTGCATTTACCTTCTTGTTTTATTTTGCAGAAAAAAGAACGTGAACTCATACTAAACAAGTCAACAAATGCTTTTACAACTGGGAAGTTGACCCATCCTCCAAACATCCCAAAGGAGCAGCCTCCAGCTGGGACCGGGAATGCACCCACAGTCTCTATCAAAGCTTCTGAAGAGAAGACCTCGGAGAGTAAAAAGACATACAATAGCATCAGCAAGATCGACAAAATGTCCCGGATTGTGTTCCCCATCTTGTTTGGCACTTTCAACTTAGTTTACTGGGCAACATATTTGAATAGAGAGCCTGTGATAAAAGGGGCAGCCTCTCCAAAGTAAACCAGGAAACCATACTCCCACTGAAATAAAACTGAGGAGAGGCCAAGCTCATAGAGACTATTTGGGCGCTGTCTTTCAGGAAATTTTGCATGTTTAATAATATGTACAAATAATATTGCCTTGATGTTTCTACGTGTAACTTCAAATGTTTCAAGGATGTCCCCTTAACAAACCAAGCAAATGGCCTTCTAGAACAACGGGAGGCAATGACTGACTCTCAGATGCTCAGCATCCTAACACCAATAGTTTACAAACGAGATAAGTATATTTTTAACTGTTCTGAGTATATGATGTTTTTATACTTCGAATGCCATTTCATACTGTTTTTCCCAGCCAACAGAACATTTTAGGGAATCCCTGTGATGACCACTTGACAGGTGAAAAAGCAAAGATCCTGGGGTACACACTGTCCATGAAGAGCAAACTGTGGACATTTAAGACCAGTACAAATTGCCTTTAACAACTCTTCTTGTTCTGAAATTAGAAAAATACTGCATGAACTGACATTAAGAAATAGAATAAGCAAACATTTATGCAGACAAATTTAATAACAAGCACATAGTGTCTTTAGATTAGCAGATTAAATACTTCCCCAAGGAAAAGAAATCAACTAATTAAAAGTTAATTTTGGTTTTTGTAGAAAATAAATTATTTCTCACCCCATCTCAACACTTCTACAACCTAAATAATGACTGAGGAAAAAAAATCTTAAAACCTTAAAGCAACAAGGCCTTGGTCTTTGGAGGCAGTACTCAGTGACCATTGTTTCTGGATCCTGGCTCCTCTTGCTGCCGCTTCTGAGCTGAGAAATTTTAATTAAGTTATTTTCTGTTTTATTTCCCTGTACATATTTCATGATTGGATTATTGCTCTGTTAGCTTTTGTATATGAATCTTAAATGTTCATTAAAAAATGTAAAAATGAGCTGATCTCATGCCATGCAATTTATAATTGAAATTCAACTTTTGATTAACTAAGTCCCTAAAAATAATGTAAGAAAATCTCATATGAACTTGCTTGGGGGAAAAAAACCCAACCAAACAAAAAGAGTTAAAACTTAGTGGAAGACCCCTACTCTTCCAATGTAATTACACACAGGAATCACAAGAATGCTTAGAGAGGATACTGCTGATATGGCAAGGGTAGATACAGTCAGTGGGTCTTCCTACTGATCTCTGTGTGCTTCCTTAGTGCATTTCCAGTGTTTTGTACAGGCATGAGGACTACTGATCCTTACAATTCCCTTATGGGCCTGGTGACATCTTTTCTGGCTTTGTGCCCTTCTTTCTGGATCAGATGACTACTGAACCTGGCCATACAACCTCTCTATGACTCTGGGGACTACTGGTTCTGGTCATCTCCCTCTCTTTTTAGGGCCTGGTGAATGCTGGTCCTAGCCCTGCATCTGGTTTCAGTTGTTCATCAATAGACAGAGTAGAGCAATTGGTGCACACATTTACTGTTGGAATAAATAATAAATAATGTTCAGCAGGTTGGAAGGAATAGGTTCTGTCCTAAATTTGGAACTCTAGAATTATAACAGAGGAGGTATAACTATCAAGAAAAGAAAATTGATGGTTAGGTCTACTTTGACAAAGTAGGTGCCATGCAAATACCCCAGTTCACTTTCTTAGTATGTTTTTCTTATGCACGTGTGTTGCCGGTGATTTTATAAAATCATGCTTGCTCTTTGCCTGGTACCATGCCTGCTCTATGTTCCTAGATCAGCCACCACCAATGGCTGACTCACTTAGGCCCTACAGCTAGCTTCACTAAGCTGCCTGGGTCTCACTCAGCTCCACCAAGTTGCTAGTTTTTCCCTAGAATGCCACACATTCCTCCCCGCCCATTCTTCCAGCTGTCTGCTTTCTCCTCCTGCCCACCTTACCCACGGATGGAAAACACCAGACAGTCTTAGTATTTTAAAACTAGCCAGATAACTCAATGGCTGGGGGAAGAATCTATTGCTCTAAACTTATCAGCTATCCTATATTAGAATTCCACTGGGGATGGAGGCCGGCACCTGTTCTAGTTGCCCCCAGGCCTTACATAATATGTACTTCTTTCTCTTCCCCTCCTCTTCCTCCTGGGACCCAGAAACTTCATCTTTTTCTCTTCTCCCAGTGATTGGCTTCCATAATTTTTATTGACACAATCAAGAACCAATTAGGGAAATGACACCTTTACCTACTCATGTGCATTTGAATACATACTTATTCATGTATGCATACATGTGTTTGTGGGTGTCAGTATCTACATGTGGTCATGGTAAGACTGGATGTTGACATAGATGGTTTCTTTAGTTTATCTCTGCCTTACTTTTAGAGATAGGCTATTGCACTGAAACTGGAGGTCACCATTTCACTTATACTGGCTGGTCAGAAAGCCTCAGCTATGCTCCTTTCTTCAACTTTCCAGTGCTAGTATTACAGGCACACAAAGTCATACTTGACTTTTTACATGTGCACTAAAGATCAAGACCAGCTCCTTATGCTTGTGAAGCAAGTGCTTTCCTGACACAACCATCTCACCAGCTCCTCCATTGTTACTTCTGCAACAATGCTCAGTGTCTCAGAAAAAGAGTGACAGAAAGGTCACTCTAAAATGATATGGAAGCATTTTCCTGAAATCTGACAATGACATCTACAGGATGACATTACAACACAGTGAGAAAGCCCCTGGGAAAACCAAAACTAAGTTTCAGTATAGAGTCCGATTTCCATTACTTTTCTAGTTCTGGACTGTTATCCTCTCCTTCCTGCTCAGCACCACACTACAGTTGTAAGAAGATGAGATATTAAAGTGTTTCCATGCGTGATAACACCCATCTTGGACTGCTTACTTTCAATAGATAATGACACCTTCTTTACCAGGTTGCAGCGAATTTTTTAAGGTTTGGCTTTTTCACCAAAGTCCTTGCTGAGCATTTTGGAGACTGCCCATTTTATTCTGCTGAACCTGTAATCTGATGAATATTTAGCAAAAATAATCACAGTGTTTTCCATTCTCTGATTTTGTGTTGTAGACATTCTCAGAGATTGTTATTTTTAATGAGAACATAATAAAGAATCACCTTGGGGGAATGATGACAAGGCAAGCAATAACATTTCCGAAGATAATTATAAATTATACTGCTCTACTTTTAGAGCAGAATATTTAAATGTGTCTTTTTTTACATCACCACAAATATAAAAGAGAGTATTCTTAACAGTCCACAATCAGTACTTCGTATGTCCTTTCTTATGAGTCTAAAGGTCTACCTACAGCAAGCTTTCAGTGAGGTTGACATAAAAGTATGTTTGCTCTCAGTGATTTTGTTCACCTGCTTGAGGAGTAACTAAAATTGTCCAGCAAATGCAATCTGTTGAAGGTAGAGAAGAGGCTATAAACCATTTGTTCATTATTTTAATGTTACCTGAGAAAATTCACTGCAGATCTTTCTTGGGACAAGTGATGGGAAAGAGCAGCAAATAGAAAATTTCTATCTTATAAACAGTGTTTTTGCAACTCAAAGTGATTAGTTCTTTACCTTAAAGCATAGGGCCAGTGAGGCATAAGCAAAGGCCTATATTTCTGTGTCTCACAGTTCCTAAGCCTGAGTTCACAACACTGTCAAACTCCTTTATGAGGATGATGATTTAGAATCAAATGTGACCTAAGATGAAAGTATTGATTCCAAGGCCTGGGTAAATGATTACACATTAAGTATGTCTTAGATTTTTTAGAATTTTTTCCTTCTAAAAACATATTCAACTACACTTTCTTCATAAAGCCTGTGGTTCTGTGATGTTACAAACTTAATGCTGTGTTTAGTATAGCATTCCTATCATAAGTAAAAGAGAGAGAGGCAGAGAGATGAGAGGAGGGAAGGAGGAAGGGAGAGGGGGAGGGGGAAGAGAGAAAGAGAGAGAGAGAGAGAGAGAGAGAGAGAGAGAGAGAGACAGAGACAGAGAGAGAGAGATTATCATTGAATAGTAGATGAAACACCTGATGTCTTTAGTTGGATTGTTCTTTCCAGAGCTCTAGTATAGATGATTATGGTGATGCCCCAGGAACAATTGCCTCAAGGAAAATCACAATGATGACACAGTCTTTAATCAACATTAGCCTCCACCATAAGAACTAGTCTCAAAGCAAAAGAACCCCTTCTTTAAAAATTTGGAAATGTTACAGTTTTTTTATCTTTTAAATATTTAAAAATTTATATATACATATACATATACATATACATATACATATACATATACATATACATATACATCTCCCATTGAAGAACAGGAGGAAAGATTCTAGGAGTTAGAGGGGATGGAAGACACCAGGCGAGCATGGGGCACTGAATCAACTAAGCAGGGCTCATATGGGCTCACAGAGACTGAACTGGAAAGCAAAGTGCCTGCATGGAACCTGTACCAGTATATATGCTATGGCTTACAGCTCGGTATTTTCCTGGGACTCCTAACAGTGGGAATGGGTGTACTGATGTATCTGACTATTTTACCTCCTCTTAGAACTCTTTTCCTCCTCTTGGGTTGCCAAGTCTAGCCTCCATATGAGGTCTTTTACCTTACTGTATCTTGTTCTATCCTGTTGTCTCTTTGAGGCCTGTTTCTTCCTGAAGGGACACAAGAGAGGGAGTATATCTTGGGGAGATGAAATGTGTCGAAGGATAGGGAAGCTGAGAACAGTGCAGGGAGGGGAACTGTGGTCAGAATGTATTATATGAGAAATAAATCTATTTTTAATTTTAGAAAGTTAAAAAAAACACAAAGTGAATAAAAACAGCATATAAAACCCAGTCGCTTTCATATATATAATTAATGAACTTCAGTAGGAATAATTTTGAAAAATATCCCGTTCACAAGAGCTCAATAAAAAACAAGCGAATCATAGGCAGAGTCATAGTGACTTGTCCCCTGAACCTTCACCCAGCCGATACCCGGTTCTGATGATATCTGTATTCCCCCTGAACACCCACACTCCAGTGTCATTCCCTTCCCCACATCCTGCCTTTCTGTGTTTATAACCCCTGTGTGAATGAATTACGATTTGAGAAAAAAAATTATAAAAAAAAGAAACTGAAAGGGGAAGTTAAAAAGGTAGTAGATGGTGCAAAGATACCCAATGCTTCTAGATTGACAGAATCAGTACTGTAAAAACAGTTGTACTGACAAAAGTAATCTACAGATTCAGTACAATCTTGGCCAATAGTTTAGTGACATCCTTCCAGAAAGAGAATTATCAAACCATAAGTTCATATTAGAAACACAAAAAGTCACAAAAGTAGCTGAAATCATCCTAAAGCCAAAGAACTCAGCAGGAGGCATCACATCACCAGGTCACAAATTATACTACAGAACGATAGTGATATCATAAAAACAGATGCATGGACACATGGAACAGAATAGAGGGCCTTGTAATAACCTAAAAAGGTATGCTCACTAAAAATTTTTGTGAAGGTGTCTGAAACATACATTGGAAAATGTAAAATAGTGCTGTTAAAATTGGTTATTTTTAGAAGAATGAAAATATCTACATATCTATATCTCATTCTATAGAGTAGATCAAAGACTTTATTTAAAAATCCAAGCTGGGCCCGAGAATAGAGCAGGTCACAGGCGGCAGCTCCGTACCCAACCCCAGAAAACCGAGAGAAAGAGGGACTACCAGGAGCTTTAACTCAGGCAGCATCCCAGGTAAAAATGAATCACCCGTGATGTCTGAGGTTAGAAGTTCTAATCCAGATGCTGGCCTCCGAACTTATACTACTCAGACCTTTGAAGGGCCACTGACAAGAACATCAAACAGCTAGAGATTGACATCACTAATCTGATGAAATCCCTCATTTCGCCGTCTGAAGAGACCTCCTAAAATCACAAAGATCCTTATTGGACTTGATCTACTCTAGTACAATAGAAAAGACTGTATAC